GGAACAGCCCCATCCCCGGCAGCTTCTCCCCCGTAAAACCAGCCCGTAAGAAACGTCGTTTTAGACCAGACCTTTGAATCCCCACGCCCTTCGCGTTAAATAGCCGCACAGAGGTTGGACCACAGCGCCAAGTCTTTAAACTCTTTTATTCCAGACAGATCTGAGTGTTACACAAAGTGTCGTGGTCAGTAACTCCATCGAGAAGGTTAAAAAGAGGCGGTGCACGTGGCAGGGTGCCCGAGGGCGGCGGAGGTACAGACGCCCGCCGAGGTCCGGCAGAGGGACCGCTGGAAGACGTGCCGGTGCTGACGGGTGACTCCCTCCCTGCCGTGTCCCAAGGGACTTGCCATTAACACGGTTATAAGGTGCATTCAGATCAGGTCCCAGAGGGTGAGTGCATGAAAAGGGGCAGCTGAGGATGCTGGGTGCAAAATAAGCCATAAGAAAAAGGGAAAAAAAAGCCAAAAGTGGACATTTCCTAAAGCAACTCGGGGAGATACCTGGGGCCAGGGGTATCTACCACCACCAGGAGCACTTCAAGCCTCCACTGTCTGCACACCCGACACCATGAACGCTCTCAGAGCCAGGCCAGCTTCTTGGGCGAACTTATTTGCACCCTAAAAAGCTTCGCTCAAAGGCCGTCAGGGTCTCACTGCAACACGCCAGCAGCGCCCGTGCTCCCCCCACGCAGCTGAAGGGCATCCCAGGCTCCGGATCTCCATCACAGCCCTTCACGAGGAGCCGATCAAAGCAGAGGGGACACCTACATCTCTCGGCTACGGGCATCGGTATAACCCTGAGATCTACCAGTATCGCTTATCCCGGGGTGGCAGGGTTCAGCATCGGCCGGGTTGTCCCGCATCCCAACGATGCGCTGTACCAGCACGGGCAGCAAACGGTGAGACCTGCTGCCTGCCCTGCCCTGCCAGGACCTGGGCATCTGCCCACGTCTGGCCACACGCAGGGATGCAGAGCAGAAAAATGAGCAGCAAGCGAAAATGGAAGGAGCTGAGCCCCGAGCTTATGGGTCGGTTCAGGACACGGGCGACACAACCCTGGGATTGTCCTCTCATTGTCCCCTGGCCAGCTCGGGGAGCAGCCAACAGACACATCTTCCAGGAGGGACTCAAAACTTCTTGCTGGCACCTTTTGCTGCAACCTGGTCCTCATTATTTCTTAATTAACATATCCAAGAAATCAATTAACTGCGACATTTCTAATTAAATACTACAGGAGATGATCATCTCATTATTATTATCTGCTGAGGTGAACAACTTGATGTGTGTGGTGGGTTTTGCGCTCCCCATTTCTTCCACTTCCCCAATTATAGGAAATAAGAAATGCAAATGGTTGGGTTGTTCTCGCAAACCGAAGGCTCCTTTTTGTACATTAGGGAAGTCGAAGAGATTAATTAGCTATTAAGTGAATGTGCTTAATGTTATCATTAGCTGTTGTGTGTAGTCTGTTCTGGCACAATTTGCTGTCCTAATAAACAGTACTAATGTGCTACTGCTTCCCCCAGCTCCATGCTTTTCATTCCTAATGCTGTAGGACGAGTTGAGCACGGTATTTTGGTGCTTGCCGGCGGTCCCACCACGGCTGGCAGCACCCGCGGCACGAGGGATCCCAACCTTGAGCTGCCCGCAAGCGAAACGGTCTTTTAAGATCCGTAAGGGTCAGGTTTGTGTCTGCTGAGCCTTTCTGCTGCTTTTAAGTAAAAATGCATCTCAACACCTCCTGCGTTGGGATGGTGGTGGCTCAAAACCTGAACTGCATCAGCTGGCTTCAGTGTCCCAGCACAGGGACACTGTGGTCTCGTGTTCCCCAAGTTTGGGACCATGGGGCCACCAAAACGTGCTCCTCATACATGCACCTCATCCTGCTCACCATCCTGGAGGACAAGCCGGGGGATGGCGAGGGGAAGGGAAGCAGAGACTGGTCTGCACCATCTTGACTGCCCGGACAAAGGGGATGCGTGTGGTTTTAGGAGATTGGGGGTCAAGTCCTCGGATCTCCAACCTCTTGGGCAGCACTGCTGCAGAGGCTACCTCACAACGCAAGACCTGCAGATGCTTTCAGAAGAGGTTAGAAAAGGGAACTGTATCCCATAAGGCGGTGACTCTCCCTTCCCAGCTCCAAGCAGGAGCATCTTCCCAGTGCTTTGGGCAGGGGGCACAACATTTTGAGTTGCGTTTGAACAAAATTTGAGAGCAAACATTGTTGCCAACCTGCCAGAGGCTGTGATCGGCTCTTAGAGATAAACACCGGTGAACGTCTGACTCAGGACCCCGGGATGTATTTATTTCTCAGCACAAACTCTGCCGAGTTGACTGAGACCCATTTTCATGACACATAAAGCGAAACAAGTTTGACGGGGTTTGTACGGGAAGATGATAAATCCAGACTCATTTAGACCGTTTGATTGTCACTTGTTCGACAGTGCAGCTGCTTTTGAGCCGAGCCATAATCTCACAGCGCAGCTCCTCTGACATCCCTCAAGCTGGTCCTCACCCACTTGAGCAGGATCAGACCCTTGTGATTCACAGGAGCCGTGAGGCTTAACAAGCCCTAAGTCTATTCTCCTCCCAACCAACACAGTTCTTACTGAGCATCACTGGATTAACACGAGGAGCATCCCCTGTTAATCAACGACCTGCGCAGCCGAAACTCTGCAGGTGATGTGTGTGCAGGGAGAGCATCCATACTCGCTTCCCATTGTGGAGGAAACTGGGAATCGAGTCTTTCCCAAGGCAAAACTTGCTCAATTTGTGCTTTTCCTTGGATCTCACCTAAAGAAATACAGCAAACGAAGCCCTGACTCCTTTCCTCTGCTGCAAATTCCTTGCTTCATCTGCGGGCTCGGCAGGTAGCTGGAGCTCACAGCCACCGACATCTTTGATCAGCGATCACGATGCAAAACCAAATCACCACCTCCCTCCTTGCTCCACCTCTCTGAAACCACCAAAAAAAAAAAAAAAAAGCCTGGGATGAACAAGCTTTGCAGCAGAATGGTTCAGGCAGCAACAAAACCCACCAGGGAAGGGGAAATGATCCACCCAGACAGACGCCGGAGCCAGGAGGCTTCTCCCTGTCAACACAAGAGGCTGTTTCTGTCTCAGCCTTGCATTTCCATTCAGGAGGAGGAAGGCGGCACGTTGTGCCTCTGTGCAACACGATGCGGCTTGGCTCCTAACTTCTGCGGGCTCAGTGAAGCCGTAAACTGAAGTTTTAGGCTCAGAGTAGCTTTTTCCCTGCTGCACACACATGTGGATGTGTGTGCAAGGGGCGACCTGTACCCTCAGCATCTGACAGCGGTCCCCACCTCCTCCCTCACCCTCCAGCAATGGAAAGGATCCTTTTCAGGCACACAGCTCGTCCCAGCTGGCTCTCCGAAGCCTTGCCGCTGTGGTTCCCACCAGCAGGCTGCTGTTTGGGGATTGCCAGCATCCCCACTCCCCTTCCCAGGGCTGGAGGTCCGCTCCGCTCTTCTACTGCTGCGGGAAGTTACTCGCCCTCAGGGCAAAATATGGGGCCTGATTCTGTGCTGTGCTGCCCATAGGACAGATGCCACCTCCCTGCACCCCCTCCAAATCCCACCCGGAGTGGATGGGGGTAGCCTTGCTTCCTCCGGAGCGTACATTCATCTCATCTAGTGCATTAGAGGAACTTTACTGGGTCAAATTCAGCTGTCCCTTACCCTGGTGTAAATCCAGAACAACTTCATGAGCGTAACTGGACCCACTCTGTGTTTCCACCAGTGTCAGAGACGGGGAGCTGGCCCATGAACAGCAGCTATAGAGAGCCCGGAGCCGGCCTCTCCTCCCCTGCACGCTGGCATGTAAATCACAAAACTGATTTGTTTCATGCAATTATTCCTGATTTACACTAGTGTGGGGACAGAATCAGTCTTCCTGAGCTGGCCCGACCGTTGTGTGGCTCCAGTTCCTACTGGTCTGACTCCAGCAGGGAGTGAGAGCAGCCGACGGTGGAGGAGCACTCAGCAAATCAGGCCTCCTGATTTCGGGCATTGCAATAAATCCTTTGAATACATTCTGCGTCAGTGGTGATTTGGTTTCCCCTCCTCCCCCCACCCTCCCCCAAACCCCCAACAAATTGGCATTTGAAGGATGACAACCTGTGCGTTTGGCTTTGTCCATCACCACCACGGCTCCATCCCTACAATGATCCCAGAGGCAAATGTTGGTGTCGGCATGGTCTCCTACTGGTGACCATGTTCAAAATCTGCATTAACTCCTCTGGTCCTCAGGGAGTCACTTGGGGTTTACTCTTGGGTACAAGATACAGGAAAGCCAAGTTATGGCCCCAAACCCATGTGAGGGCAGGATTTGGCGTAGTGCTTTCTCCACCCTACTTTAAGCACCCCAAAGTGGAGTAGTTGAAGAGACAGACAGACAGACAGACAGCTGCCTCCAGAGGGCAGTTGACCCCTCTGAGGTTGCAGTCTCACGAAGCCATCAGCTTGGCATGCCTGCCAGGCGAAGTCATCCTGCCCACCAGTTTGTGCTTCAGGTCCTCCTCTGCACCAGCACAAGGCTTTGGGCAGTGTTGGCTTTGCTGTCTGAAAGCATTGGCAAACATAGAGAAAAGAAGAAGGAGGAGGAGGAGGAGAGAGGAGAGGAGAGGAGAGGAGAGGAGAGAGAGACTTCTAGTTGGAAGGGACCTACAACAAGCATCTACTCCAACTGCCTGACCACTTCAGGGCTGACCAAAAGTTAAAGCACATTATGTCCTCAGATAACTAGCTTAGCAAGGTATGGCTTAGCCAATTAGTTTAGATTAACTACCTTACTTTTAGAGGGTCTATGTTAGGTGGGACAAACCCCATCCTTCATTTTCCCTTGTGCAAAGGAAAAGAGCAGATCAATTGTATTTTTGCTGTAAGATCCCTTCCTATTCAACATACGGGTGTGTTGGCTTTCCAGTATCTTGAACCCCGTGTAAAAGCCCTTGCGGATATCCCTGGCAGTAGGCTCCTGTGACACAAAGTCTTGCAAGTGCAATGAATGGCAAGATGCCACCAGGATTGTCTGCAGAAGAAGGAGGGAGGGATGGAGGGTGCACAGGCTATGACCCTCACTGTGCTAATGGAGCGTTGCACGCCAAACCATGGAAGGCTGCTTTTGCGCATGATCACTGGGGCAGGATTGTCATGAAATTTATACAGAACACTTATCAAACACCCTACCAAGCGCTTCACATTCATGCACCCACTGATCTCTACGGAATTATTTTTGTGCAGTATCAGTGTCGAGATTTAATTCACATTGAAAACAAAATTTGTTCAGTGAAGCCTACTTTCATGTAGTTAGGTATAACCATGTAAACACGCTGCTAAACATCCCTCCATGCAGTGCTATTAAGTTCTGAAATTCTTCTTTAGCTAGTTCTCTAAAGTGTTTGGATGTAATTTTTTTTTGTTGCTGCTTCTGTTGCTAATTTAAAACTTTTAATATTAATCTTTTTGACTGGTGTGAGGTGTCAGTTCTCCGCAAGTGTTAATTTACTCCCAGTTCACCGGGAGCAGTAATACGTTACTATCGCTGAGCTCTATTATTTGTTTTATCTTGTTGTTTTCTTTTTCCCAGTTGGGATCTCAAGTTTCTCCCTTTCCCTCCCCAGATCTTCTGGGCTGAGATGGTCCTCTTCCACTTACAATCCTTTATTGTAGACTACAGTCTTACTGGTGGTGGCCATTGCGATTTCTGGCTCCAGCCGAGATGTCTCAATCTGCGAAATCAGAGAGGAGGCACGATCAGAATCAATATTGTGTTGCTGTGCTGCAGCAGGAGTTTGGCAGATCAATAACTTAAACCGCAGAAGTATAATACGTAAATAATACAGTATCAACCATGCCTTTTCCATGTCATTTTAATGTGCTCAACCACGCTCAAGTCGCAAAACATCCCTGTTTGGATTGACTTGCATTATATGAAATGATGCACACTCTCTGTCTTCTAATATTCAATGAATTAGAGTGCCTCCGAGAATCAAATGGATCCCACCCATCATTTTCCTGGAGACATCCCTTCCTTTTCCCACAGCCAAGGTCCCCTTGCATGGTGCGAGAAGGAATCCAGTCCCCGAAGCTGTGGTTTGCACTGATAGGGACCCGGAAAAGCCACAGGCTGCCTGGTGACGGGAGCGGACAATACACCCTCATTCATCTCCTGGACCAGGGCTCTATATCCTCCAGTGAGGATGGATCATGGATAAAATCTGCCTACCACTTTCTCTGTCTCCATAAAATCTCTAGCCCTTTCCTGATTTTTTCCTTTTGCTGGCTTCACACAAAGATTTCCCTTGCTCTGAAATCGCTCTGAACCTTTGCATCCCTGGGAGGGATCCCTGGTGCTCCCGGTTCCTGCGGTAAGCACAGATCCCGCTCCCAACCGGGACAGGGCACCTTGCGAGATCAGACTTTTAGAAATCCTATACATTGAATTGATGCTGTTGCTGACACAATGCTAGGAACCCACGTTAAAATCGAAATGCTTTTGAAAATGTTTAACCTAGTTAGACAAATTAGCAAAAATTTGTGCAAAACAATTTAGGTATTTAAAATATTCAATGTTTTTAAAAACTGGAAAAACTGTTCTTAGCTTTCAGCTGCAAAAACCCAACAAAATATAACATCAAAGCAATCTTAACATGAGGTGCAACATAACCCTTCAGCAAAGCTGTTAAACAGCTACTGAAGCATCATGGGAAATAGCACTTCATTTATTCAAATGCACATATGTCAGGTTTTTGCACCATATGTCATTCCAAGCTATTTACAGTAATAATTAAATCTTAATCAACGTTTAACCTCTGTAAAATGTTTGAAGGGATCTAATCACCCTTCAGACTGCACTAATGAAGGAGAAATATATAAACATAAAAAGAAAATGATGCATAGATAGCACACCAGAAAGAACAGTAATTGCAAAATTGTATTTCTTTTAAATATAATCAGCAAATTATGTAAAGTAAGCCAACGAGTATTTTAAGTGAAGACATCTTGGGTGTCAGAGGTGTGATCAGCTAATTTTGTACTGCTATCCATAACAGATGTAGCATATTTTCTTTTAGTGCCATTATTAGCAACTTCACCATTTCTTTCTGTGCTGAAACACAAAGTGAAGCATTGTGCCGGGGAGAGTACCCAGCAAAGGTGCAGGAGAGGCGATTCTCACGTACACCGGCACTGACGGGATCCATTTTGAGGGAGGATTAACTCCGATCTGCCTGGCTCTGACGCAGCTTTTCTTCCCATTGTTTTCTTATTTTTCTTCCAGAGACAGAAGGAAAAGCTCCGAGGCATCGGGGCTGGGTGGTTTCACCCACTGGTACGAAAATATCAAGGTGGGAAGTGCTTTAAAATGACCTGGAATTGGGTGGTCCAATCCTGACTGTCCGTGCTGGTGGTGGCAGGGCTTGGGGACATGGGGCAGCTCGGACAGAGCAAAACCCAACCTACTACTGGGATGTCTCCACAGAAAGCTAACAGATAGCCACCAACAGTCCCTTCCTCTCCAATGGGGGATGGAGAGGTGGGAGGTCCAAGGAAAGCCATGTCTACCTCGGCGGACCCCAGATTAGTGGTCTGAAAGAAAGACCTATGGGAAAACGTTGAGGACTTGGATGCGCTGAGTCTAGAAGAGACAATTTCAAGTGGGGCATAGTGGTATGTGTGTGTGCAAGAGGCTACAGCACATGCAGAGGAGAGGAGTAGTGGTTCGCTCATGCTCTCTTGGGACACAATTCAAAAAGCATCGAGTTAGATCCAAGCTGAACAGCAGGAAGAGTATCCTAGTGGGAAGGAGCAAAGTATTGCAACCAAATGCTTGGGGAAGCTGTGGTGTCTCTCTGGTGGGAGGTTTTCAGCACAAATTAGATGAAACCCATCAAGAATAGTTTAAGCAGAATTGGGCTTGTCGTGGTGGAAGGAGACAGATGAGATAACTGCTTGTAGGTCCTTTCGGCACGGCTCAGCTCTTCATTCATGGCAAGGCTGTACACAAGGCTGTTGGGATAGCTTTAGGAGGGACAGGACTGAGATGTGATAGTTCAGAGACAGATTATGGTGTCTAAGCAGAAGGACAAGGGAATGAATGCCTAATGCAAGATGGACATGTGGTCAGGGACTGCTTTGAAGAACTTGAAAGAAGACAAAATCAGTCATGGGCATCAGTTTGGAGCTGTGTATTACTGAGCCTGCTTAAGCCCCTTTCTGAAGCCTGGGAAGATGTGAAATAAATTTGCCAGGGAGTGACTGGTTGAACTGGAGCAATCTCTCCTGATTCCCTTCTGGTTGACTTTAATAAAGCAGATATTACAAACTGCTGTAGAGCCTCAGCTAGAGAAGCTCCAATGGGTGCATCTGCACCAAGGAGGCAGGTAGAGGAGGAACGTACTCCACAGCAGTACTGGCAAAGCCATTCAGAAATGCATCAGGAGTAACTTACTCCTCTCACTGGGAAATCAAACACAGAAGATCAGGAAGAAGCATTCGTGTAGTAGGCTACAGATAGTAAGACAACATTAAGACACAACCTTATTGTGTACCAGTTCAGTCTTTGAATCCCTCAGGGTTTTTTGTTGGAAAGCGTAATTCCACTTATTTTGGTGAAACAGCATTGTGAAACAGATCTGGAGACCACAGTTTCTTGTGAAGTTTCTTGTGTCTCAGCTTCAAAGACCCCCAGCAGGACCCTTCTCGGTCATGGCCGTGCTGGGAACCCCTCTAACAGGGAATACCCGCCATGGAGGGTGCTCTGAGGAACAGGTTCTACCCTGTTGGGACTACACTGATGGGACCTGCCCCACCACACACAGGAAGACTTTGTCCTTTCAAACTGAGTGCCCACCATAGGACTGGGTTTGAATTGTGTCCATCCTCTTCCTCCCGATAAGGTAGACCTACCTGTGCTGAGGCAAAGGATGGATCCCCTTTCTGTCTCTGGGATGACAGCGCTAAGGTGCCTACCAGAAAAGGGCCTTCAACAATGAATCCAGGAGAAGAAAAGTCCAAGAGAGAGGCAAGCTCACAACAGCACTGAGAGAACTGTGGTGTAAAAACACCCACTCCCAGAGAGTGCTACAAGGGGCTCATTTGGGGAAAAAAACACAGTCAGGCTTTCAGGCTGATGGCTGCATGAGCATCAGTGCAGCATTGATTGCTCAGTATCCCAACATACCATCATGGGACACACTATAACGAGGCAGCGGGAGAAGAAGGAATTGCTTCACCCCCCTGTAAGACTACTGGTAGTTTTGCTATAGATGCAGGGATCCCGATCCTTGCTAGGGACATGGCCAAGTTGCCCCTCCAAACTCATCCAGAAATGTGGCCGGCGCTAGTCACAGCCCTTTGCAACACCTGGGAGCCGGTCAGGCCTGAGGACACTCTTCTTCCCTCTAGCAGATAGCCAAGTGCATGAAGAAAAAAGGGAAAAAACCCCAAGAAATCATGTCCCCTGACCTTATTGAAGCAACTGTTTATAAACCAGCATCAGCCAGGTAATGCAGGCAGGATGACAGCGCTGGCTTTTTAGCGGTGTTCCTGACCCAGTGATATCTATCCTCCCGGGGAACAAAGCTGCCATAAAGGGAATCGCCTCTCGCGGTGCCCACTGCACGCCAGCTCTCTTCCCCCCATCTCTGCCTTGCAGTGGAAGCCTCTCTCCTCTCATCAGCACAGACAAGGCTAATTGGGGTGATAAAGAACTGGCTCTGAGTGCTGGCGTGGGCTGGAGGAACAAATGGTGCGGTGGTCACAGCTGGTGCTGCGGAGACGGAGAGGGAGAGGGTGTGAGGCAGGCTCCCGGCGCCCAAAGTTTCGTCAGCCCATGTTGGATGCGGGGCGGCGAGGTGGGGGGTTGTGTGTGTTTTGCATTCGCTGCTGACACGGGTGTAGCGTACATGCGCGTCCGGTGAAGCAGAAGCAGGCAGAAAGCAGATGCTTTTTGTTTGGGGTTGATACTCATTTCTATCCCAGCTCGGGAAAAGGTGTAGAAAGGAATGTGCTCCTAAGAGTGCAGGGAGAGAGATAGGTCTAGGCTCGCTGCCAGGGATCCTGTAATGATATGGAAGGCAGCTAGGGGAGACAGGAGCAGATGGATTTGGCATACAGCTCATCACTCAGCCAAAAAAAAGGGAGGGGGGGGGAGAAGAAGGAAGAAAGCAGCCAATTTTGGTAGGGGGAGGGTCATGTGGACTGACGGATGATGCACTGGGAGGTGGGGGAAGGGAGGATCGGGCTGGTCACCGCGTCTTCTGCTGCGGCCTCGGCAGTGCCAGTGAGATGGCTCAGTGGTGGCCCCGGTTTGGAGCCCAGGGGGGCTCTCCCGGCTCTTCCAGCAGCCCTCTGCCGTCTCTTCCTGGGCCATCAGACATCAGGGCAACGGCCGAGGGCAATGCCAAGCTAACCAAGCCCTAGTGAAGCTTTGTGAGGTGTGGCAAGGTTAATAAATGGCACCATGAAGTACCGTGAAGGACGAGCAACTGCTCCTTCCACGGTGGTAGGCTCTGCGCACAACTAGATGGAGAGGTGGGGCACATTTAGTACCGCTAACAGACTCTGCTCTGTCTTTGGTGTCCTCAGTGAAAGATCACGTTTTCCCTTGGATGGATGAGCTATTGGTCATCAGCCATGCCATGGTCACCAGGCACATCTGCTTGTAGCTTGGTGCAACCATGGTGTGAAAGCACCTCTGCACAGGTTTACTAAGGCTTCCTTTCACCTT